AGGCTTTTTTAAAAAAAGATTTGAGAGTAAACATCTTTATTCTTAACTATTCTTTTTTTGGTTTATGAGTCACAATGTGTCAGTGTCTGGTGTATGTGTGTGTGTGTGTGTGTCCGCTCACGCGTGCTAAGTCACCTTTCTCACATTCAGAAAATGGGTGTACATAAAGCTCAAGTTAAGATAAATGCTTCACTGAATAAATACTCAGCTTGTCCCTTGGATGGGCACATTAACTCTTGCCGGTTGCAGTTTGTAATATCAATGTGATTTTAATGTTTTGCTTTCCTTTTCAGAGACCGAAGTGGAGTGTGCCATTCAACTCAGGAGGTTTGGAGACAAACTGAATTTCCGGCAGAAACTTCTGAATCTGATATCCAAACTCTTCCGCTCAGGAACCTGACTGTTTTGGAAGCTTTTGAATGAGGAGATTCCTTTAAAACGGAAGATTCCCCAGTAGGTGCAAATTTCATCAGTTAGAGGAAATGCCTTCTAATGGAGACGATTGGGAGGGAGATCTCACTTGCTTTTTGGATGCCCTTGGAAACCAAGATGGAATACATCAAAGACGGATTTCTGTTGGAGATTTCCCAGAAGTCATTTTTTTGGGTTGCGAGGACGTTATAAAACCATTTTGTTTATTTTAAAGCAAGAATGGTGCAGCTTTGAAAAATATGGAATTAATTACTTATACATTTTGTTTTTACTTCGAAGATTATTCTGGTAATTTTGCTGAAGGTTGCTGTCCAGTCCACTGGAAGCGGAGTTGGCAAATGAATAGACTGTGGGCAGGGGCAAAGAAACGGAATGTGTTCAGTGTTGGGTTTTATTTTTGGATGACAACTCCACAAAGTGTTGTATAATATTTGCTTTATATATTATCTTGTTAAAAGTAAAGATTTCATTCTGAGAACACTGCATGTCAGAGAATGCGGATTCCATAGGTCACTACAAAATATAAAATGATTTGAAAGCTTGTTTCTTTTGACTCAAAAATGTATGGACACAAAAATGTATCTGTTCAGACGACCCTTCCTTGAATTATGTTTCTGTGAGTCTTAACTGCAAAGTCTGTACTTGGAAAAATGTGATGGAGGTGTTACTTGGTGCCAGTAAGACTCTTGCAGGTAGAATGTTAAAACATAAAGAGTACGGGGATTTTGTAGAATGAGAAATAATGGGGGAGAAAAAGGAATTTAGACTTTTTTACTGCTGTAATTAACACTTAGTAAAACAAGTATTCTACAGTAACTTGATAAGATGAATGTGTTTCTAAAGAAGTTTCTAAAATCTGTAAAATGCCCTTTCTCAGATTAGTCAGTGTATGTCTTATAAGAAGTGCCCTTTTAAGAGAAATTAAGCATGTTTTGCATAGTTGGGATATACTTTTTTTAAAAAAAGGGAACGGGATTGCTCATCCAGAATAAAAATGCCATATATGTGTAATTTGCATTAGAATATGTAGATTCTGAGAAAGGTTTCATGAATTTCACTTTTTTATTGTTAAAAGGCCAGGCTACCAACAAAGTCCCCAAATACATACATAATGTCATGACTGATTTTCAACAAGAATAATCTTATTTATTTTACCTATCTATAATTAAAATATTTTTTGTTAGTTTTGAAAATGTATATTAAAGTTATATTTTTAGGTTATGAGACAAGGCTTTCATAACTATTTGAACTCTTACAGTAAGAATGTTTTAATACAGGCTATTGTCACTTTATTTTTTTAAGATTTTATTTATTTGAGGGAGAGAAGAGAACATGAGCAGGGGGAGGGGAGAGGGAGAAACAGACTTCCCGCTGTGGGGCTCAATCCCAAGTCCCCGGATCATGACCTGAGCCAAAGGCAAGATGCTTAACCGACTGAGCCACCCAAGAGCCCCTAATATAGGCCATAGTCACTTTAGATGAAAAATTACCACACCTTCTGTTTTTCTTCATGATTACTTGAAGCTGTTAGTTAATTTAGTTGCAAAGATATTTTTTGTCTGTCTAGAGGTAGATATTTTGCCATATGGATATTGTCTGTAACTATATTTACACATATAAGACTTGATACTATAGCTGTAAACTATTAAAAATTATCACCATTCTTTAAAAGATTTTAAAAAATAAAAATAAATAAAACAAGCAATCTAAAGCCCAAACATTCCTGACAAGTAAAAGGTTTTTTGAACCCCTAAACATGACCCCAAGATAGAAAGGCTCTTATGATTATTCCTTGAGGTCAACAGAAAAGCAGCAGTAAATATACCATTCTGACAGTAGTTGTTTTGAGAATTAAATGAGAAAATTCAGAGTAATACATACAAAGTACTCAATAAATAATTGTTTTCACAGACCTCAAGCTCTTCGGGTCAGGTAGACAATACTCTGACCGTGCCACAGGGAACTGAGGGAAAGGGAGAAGGTAAGGGACTTGCTTGAGTAAGCGCTTACTAACTTCCTTCTCACATTACATTCAAGTCACGCAGTCCAGAGATAATCTGAACCAGGCTCCTGATTCGAGATCCTCTGCACTTTTCACTACTAATAAAAAGCACCTCACATGTTATGAGCAACTCTCCCCTTGCCCCTGTCAAGGAACGCTAAAACAGGAACTCAGAAAATAAGACTATGAAGATTTGGTTGGCAATAAACTAAGAAGAAAAACTTCCTACTTGTATGAAGACTTCTGCTGGTGTGACACAAGGCGCCAAAACAAACCTCAGCTTATCAGAAACCTGTGGATCGATATCAATGAATACTTCTCGCCATCCTTGTGGGGTTTTCTAAACACAAAATAATGCATAAAAACAAATTTTTACCAGTTTTTTTCTCAGAATTGCCTCTAACTAAAAATAACTATTTTTCTCCCCCTACCATATATGACAGATGACTAACATTTACAGAGTACTTTACCACTGAAAATTATTTCAAGGCAATACTGGAAGGCGCAAACTACTGGTGTTGGCTGGATAAGAGGCGGAGCCGTAGGGATAAAATGAGCGCATGGCAAGTGCTCCCAATAATGGAGAACAGACTGTGAAGGATGAATCGGAAGCTTTTGCTAACAAATCAATACATGCTCTTAGCCTCAGACACTACGGTACGCATACATTACCACCAAATCTTAAATGTGCTCACTTCAACTTCAGTGAGGAAACATTTTAATCTTTGGATATTAAAGCTATTTGCTAAAATGTAACCCTTCCTTGTACTTTAGCCATTTACCGTCTTCTATCTGCGCACATCTTTATCCCTGGAGAATTAAGCATTCTTACTAGTTATCCTAAGAGAATGAAGGTTCTACTTAATACTTCACTTTTGCTTTTCAATTACTTCTATTCATCAGAATTCCAAATGTAGTTAACTTCAACAATAACTTCAACAACCATAAATGTTTTTTCTTACAACATAAGGCCCTTTGTTATTCAATTAATGACTTTAGCCCATCAATACCTGAAACTTATGCACAGGAAGGACATCAAAAAATTCATGTGCTAGATAGAAGCTGTGTCCTATTTAAAAACAGAAGAAAAAAACTGTTTCAGCATTTTTAAGGCAATACTTGATTCATTCATTTGAACACGAACAAAAAGAAAACGCCTGGTTCTCCGTGTAGGAACCCGTGGTGTTCGCACAGCCATCTCTACAGAGAATCATCCACCTCATTCACATCTTCACCTACTCTGCAGAACAGACAAAAGAACATTACTGTTCTCATTTCCCACACAGCAGGACCAGACAGGCTATCGCAATTATCAGTTTAAACTTTTATCCCTCACCAGGCATGAAAGAAATCAGAACTCAAATTGGTTAGCTCAAAGAGGCCTTGAACTTCCCAAAATCTCTGAGACAGCTGAGCCCGGGGCTGGCTGAAGTGGCTTCCCCGAGAGCTGAGCACCCCTGCAGGTATGAGCAGGGACTCATCAACACAGGACGCCTGTCCGGTGCAGGGATTTTCCATCCCCCCGAAAGGCCAGCAAGAATGTTCAAAAGATGAGACAGTTCAACTAAACCCACCTAACACTGCTTCCGTCAGGCCCCACTGCCTGGGGCTGCTTCAGCATCAGTACTTTCTGAGGGGTCAGGAAAAACTAAAAGGTACAACAGAGATCGACACTGTCGTTTCTGCAAAACCACAGGAAATTCATTGCTCCTACTGTTAGCCATGTTATTTTCTAATACAGTGCTCTTTTCGAGAAAAGGATTAGCTCTTCCCTATGAGTAAGGGACCTGGCAGCACTAACTCTATGAGCGTGTCCTCTGTGGCTCTGGTCACCTATCATTGCTGGGATGGGATGCGATCAAAATGATTTCATTACGTCGTATAAAAGAATTACCTTTTGGAACATCATGCAGATCTCGGTACCATGAGATTGGAATCCCAGATTTTGTAACACCTTTCATATATACAGGGGATCCAGCATTTCGCTCTAGTGGGATCTTCTCTTCAGTCAGTGTTAATGCTTGAATCTCACTCAATTTTCTGCTCACCTCTACCAGATGTATTGAAATGTCACAGTTTTTCAGCACAGATCCAAGCTGACTGAACACCTAAAAACAAAAAAAGGATGTGCCCGGCTAGCTCAGTCGGTAGAGCATGAGACTCTTAAAGACAAAAAAAGGGAAAAATACAAGTGTTGAGCAGATTTGGGGTTTTTCTAACCATTTACCTTAACAATTTGCTCATGTTACAGGAATAACATTTGGTTTTGGAGGAATTTGTTCTTCACACAAGCCACTCTCCAGCAGTCTATGAGAATCATAACCTATCCATTATTATACATTGTCCACATAAGAGATGAACAGTACACAATTTGGTTTCTTAATGATAAAAATTAGATTGACTAATAAAAGAAAATTAAATATTTAACATCCAATAAATAAGCAGATTAAGGGATCTAAAAAGAAAACAAGAAAATAAATTGTATACATACCCTTGATTTTATAAAGCTGCTATTTCTATGAAATAATCTCATCTTTGAGATGTTTAAACTGTATCTTCAGGAAATAAAATTTGAGTGGCTCTAAAAACTTGACAGTTTAACTTGGTAATTCTTCCACATTTTTAATTTTTTCTTAGCTACACACATTTTTATAACTGTTGTAAACATGAGGAAAAAAGGAATATACTAATACTTTATCAATATTTTAATGCTAAAAATTCAATGCCAAAGCATAAAGTACATCAATAGTATTTTTCATCTGAATTTAATTTTCATTGGTGATTTGCCTCCTGCTTTGGAGATCTGAATATGCATGTATAGGCTGATAATAAGGACAAGATGATTTTTCCAAATTTTGTTTTGAAATGAAACTACAAATAGAAAAACTTCCCAAGAGAAAAATCTTTCAGAAATTATGATCAAGAAATGAAAACAAGTCTGCAAATATGTCTTTGTCTATTTTCTTAACATTCCTTTAAATTCTTTTGCTTTTTAAGGTTCTAAGGACTCGATCTAGGGAAGCATCCTTTATACATTTTAAGAGCTGTGGGCTTGATTTTTAAAGTACTTGAAACAAGATGGTATTATTTGAGAACCTTATCAAATATTTTATATTCAAATGACTTTGCCAATTTAAAGAGATATAAAATAGAGCCCCGGAAACCTAAATCAGTGGTTGGTTTCTTTCACCTCCCAAATATGATATAATCAAGGTTGTCAGATTTATAAATTAAAAGCCTTCGATTCCTAATTTCAAGCAAAAATCATACAGCATCAAGGCATTTAAATGTATACTGAATATGTGTTTTATTTTATACACTTAAGATAAACTAAAAAAGACCATTGGATTCCAAAACAGTATAACAACAAAAGTTTAATACAAGTACTTGTCATGTACTTTAAACATTCCTTTTTAATGTTTTTAGAAAATCTTAGAATGGAAGAAAGAACAATACATGGAAAAATATCAGCTATCTGATTAAAGGAGAGTGACCTGACCCTTCCCATTGGAGCCCCCATGTCCTCCCTCACTGTCAAAGGTCACCACTGTTCTCAATCTGGAGTTTATAATTTCCCACTTTTTCTTTATAAATGTTACTGAACACGTTTGTATCACCAAACACATATTGTTTAATGGTATTTGGGGATTTCATATAATACAATCATATGATGCGAATTCTTGTACAAATTGCTGTTTTCACTCAACATTTGCTGAGTTTCATCTGAATATCGTGCATTCTGCTGCGACTTCATGCATTTGCACAACGCTTGGCATTCCATTGTATGACTGTACCACAATTTATTGATTTATTTTCCCACTGATAGTCGTCTGGGTTGTTTCCAGTTTTTTGGCTATTCTAAACAATGCTGTCTTCTTGTACATGTATCCTGGTACGTATATGCACTCATTCCCATAGGGCATACACCTAGCAGTAAAACCACTGGGTCAAACAGTGTAAGAACTTTGACGTTGGCAGATGATGCCCAATAAGCACTTCGAAGTGCTTACGCCAAATTACACTCTTACTAACAGTGTATGAGAGTCCCCAGTGTGCCACATCTCCCCATCCTCACCAACCCTTGGTGCTGCCAAATCTTCTCATTTTGAGGATATAGTAGTATCTCACTGTGATTTTAACTTTCATTTCCCTGACTCCCAACCAGTCTGAGCATTTTTTTGGTTTTTCCTGGCCATGTAGATTTCCTCTTTCATGGTGGACCTGTTCACATCTTTAGCCTGACTTTTCTATCGAGTTATATGTCACCATCCTAACAACTGAAAGGAATTCTTTATGTATTCTAACTACCAGTTCTTTGTTGGTTATATGTATTGCAAATAACTCCTCCCACTCTGTGGCGGCTTGTCTTGTTCCTCTCTTTACAGTGTCTTTGAAGAACAGAAGTTCCTAATTTTTTTAAAGAACAAAAAATTTGGGACGGCTGGGTGACTCAGTCAGTTAAGCGTCTGCCTTCAGCTCAGGTCATGATCCCAGGGTTCTGGGATCGAGCCCCACATCGAGCTCCTCGCTCAGCAGAGAGCCTGCTTCTCCCTCTGCCTGCCGCGCCCCCTGCTTGTGCTCTCTCTCTCTCTGACAAATAAATAAAATCTTAAAAAAAAAATTCTTTAATGTAGTTGAAATTATCCTTCTATTCATCTTTTCCTTTATGGCTTCTGCTTTTTATATAATTCAAAAACTTTTCCTACCTAGAAGACAAATATACTCTCCCATAATGTCTTCTAAATGTTCTAAACTTTTACCATTCACATTCTCTCCCACCCTCATTTTTTAGATTACAAACAGACAACAAGTTACAATTCATGTATTATTCTGACATTGTACTTCAGCTGAGAAAGACTGTTAAGGAGGTAGGACCAAAAGCCAAGGAAATCAATGGAGTTTGCAAACAAGTCAAAAGAACAAAGATTCAGGTGAGTACGTGAGGATCTAAAGCCATTCTTTTATTACCTACCCTCAAAATATCTCCTGCGAGAGTACCCCTGCCTGGGCCCAGTTCCACCAGTTGGAAAGCTGCATTTTTTCCAGTAGCCATCCATTCGCTAATGAACCATATACCTAGCAGCTGTGACAAAGAAAAAAACTACACTGAAGTATTATAAAATATAAAAGTATACCACAATATAAAACTCAACATAAATACATACTTTATGCCAGAAAGCAAAATGTTTGCAATGTATGTATGTATGTATGTTACTTAATATGTACATGTATGTATGCACACCCAGGAGCTTCACAGAGACTACATTACAAAAGACACCACTTAGAAAGCTTAATAACAGGAGAAAACAGTTAAAAGGCAGTCCCCCATAAGAGGTCTCATAACACAGGTAAGAGGATATCACTTACAGGAAGGTGTTAGTCTTTGAAAGCAAATAAACACATGGAATAGGATTATGCCACTTCTTCATATTCATATGATTTCAATAATTACGTGGCTTTTTAGGCATAATTAACATTTTTTAATACCTAGATTCTATTTCCTTTTTTGTACTATTTCCTATATCTAAATTTATCAAGGGGTTTTTATGCAGAAATGAACGAACTAGAATTCCTAAGAAGAATTCAGAATTTCTCACAGGAGACTTTTGTCTAACTATGGTGCAATCTTGGGCAGGGGCTGTAGAGTGTGTCTCTCCCCACTAATGCCTTAGTGTTTTGCATCTTTTCTCTCTTTCTTCACTTATCTCTCTCTTTAGACCTCCATTGTTCTCTATTCCTTCAGCATGATTAAAAATGAAAACTAAAAAAAAGAAAAAAGAAAGAAAACTTGAATCACAAAAACAAAGCTGTAAAACGCTATATTATAGAAGAATACAACTTGATCTGCTTTCATTTACAGTTTACATTGAATATTACCTCCCCAAAGATCTGACTTATTTCCGGTGAAGTAATGAAATCTCCTTTTTCTCCTAGCATGTCACGGTACACATAATATCCCTGAGTAAAAAGAGAAAGTAGAGAAAACAAATTAACTTTCAAATAAGCCTTTTAAACCACCCCTCCAAAATCTTATATGATGTATACAATAACATAATCATTTGGTAAGAAAGTTCTCTCTTTTCTAAATAAACAAGATAAACACAGCAACTTAACCTAAACTTTACAAAGTGCCAGTCATGTTGCAGAACAGGTAGAAAGATGACCACTCCTTGACCATAAAGGCAAAAGCCATGCCATGTCCATCTTCACATCCCACATCTTCCCATCCCACCCTGCTCCCCAACCCAACACAGTAAGACCTTGCCTGCCCCTCCCTCCAGCCTCCTCTCCCAAATGCTCACTGTTTCAAATTAGCCCCGCCTGGTGATGTCGGTGGTGATGTTGCTTGACCTACGTGCTCGTTATGTGGGAGCATTCACTTTGTGAAAATTCATGAAGCTATGTGCCTGTGATTTATGCATTTTTATAAATGAATATTTATATCTCCATAATTTTTTTTTTAATTAGCCCTGCTTGTCCATACATCCATGCCATTGCAAATGCTCTCCTTTCTCCCTTCTCATTTCTCCCTGGCAATCTTATACTCAATAAAATTGAATCTGCTCAAATGCCAGCTTCCCTAACCTCCTCCTCCAGCCCTCCAACCTCATACTAATTGCACTGCTTCCTTTTATGTGTTAATTTATTTATATGTCTGTGCTCCTCACCAAGAAGCATAGTTACTTGGTGAAGAGGACCATCTTATTTACCCTCCTATCCCAAGTTTTAGCATACTGTCTAAACGTCAAGACATACTCAAAAATTCTTTCTTAAAAAATTCCCTATGCTCCTCAAGCCCCTTCCTCCACCACTTTACTCAGCAGGTGACCTAGACTCCTGCCCATAAAGGAAGTAAAGAATGTTATAAAATAGGATTTACTCAGCACCCTGACCCCACCTGGCCTCCACCTGCTCCCATTCATTCCTCAGAACTGAAGATAAAATGCCTTTACCTTCTGCTCTTATCCAAACCTAATCCCGCCACCTGTGCTCTGAATCATCACCTCTCCTCACACAGCTCTCATGGGCCAGGATCTCGTTACCACCCCCTTCTCTAAACACTTTAACTTCCCTCTCTCAGCAGCAGAAATATACTTGAGTCACTCCCATTTAAAAAAAAAACAAAAAACTGTTTTCATTTCATACAGCATCTCCTCTCTAGCTTTTCTCTTTCCCTTCATATGTGAACATTTCAGCGGTGTTTTTGTGGCACATTATGAATCACTCTGGTAGATGAAGACTATGTATTCCTTCATAGAATGTTTTTAAATGCAGGACTTAAAACACACAGGATTACCCCTCCCTCCAAAAAACTGAAAAACATTCGTCCAATATTTAAAAAACAAACTTGTGATATAGTAACATATATGCATCCTTATAAATACATTAATAAAGCTAAGCCTGAGGTCTAATAAGTAACAAAGTTTTAAAGTATGGAAGAACACAATGTATTTTCAGATACCTATGATCACTACTGGTATATGACAATATCAGTGATTTCCATGGATGCTAAAATCATTGGTATTACTGATGCCAGTGATTATTTCCTATGTTCATAATAAGAGAAATGCTAAATTTCAGTTAGAGGCTAATGAGGAAATGCAAATTAAAACCATGAGATATCCCTCATGCCTATTAGAAAGACCACCATTAAAAACACAAGAAACAACAAATGTAGGTTTAGACCCTCTTATCCACAAGGCCACTACTTTCAAGACCAGAAGATGTAGCTGATTTACCTAATACATAGATAAAAACACAGAGAGTTAAACAAAATGAGGGGACAGAGGACTATGTCCCAAATGAAAGAATAAGACAAAAATCACAGAAAAAGAGCTAAATGAAACTGAGATAAGCAATATGCCTGATAAAGAGTTCAAAGTAATGGTGATAAAGCTACTCATCAGACTTGAGAAAAGAGCAAATGAATGCAGGAAGAACTTCACAAAGAGCTAGTAAATATTCAAAAGAACCAGTCAGAGTTGAAGAATACAATAACTAAAATGAAAAAACACTAGAGGGAATCAACAGATTAGAGGATGCAGGACAGATTAGCAACCTGAAAGGGTAAAGAAAAGCAAACAAGCTGAACAGCAAAAAGAAAAAAGAATTTAAAAAATGAGAATTAGTTGAAGGAACTCAGCAACATCTTCAAGCATTAAGAGCATTCACATTATTAGGGGTACCAGAAGGCTGAGAGAGAGATGAAAGCAAAAAAACTTATTTAAAAAAGTAATAGCTGAAAACTTCCCTAATATGGGGAAGAAAGCAGACATCCAGATCCAGGAAGCACAGAGAACCCCTAACAAGATGAACCCAGGGAGGTCCACAAGACACAAAATAATTAAAATGGCAAAAAATAACGATAAAGAGACAATCTTAAAAGGAGCAAGAGAAAACAGTTATAAACAAGGGAAATCCCATAAGGCTATGAGCTGATTTTTCAGCAGAAACTTTGAAGGCCAGAAAGGAATGATTTTAAGACACTGATATTAAAAGCATTGAAAGAAAAAAACCTCAAGAAAGAATACTCTACCCAAGCAAGATTATCATTCAGAATAGAAGGGGAGACAAAGAGTTTACCAAACAAGTTAAAGGAGTTCATCAACACCAAACTAGCCTGACAAGAAATGTTAAAGGGAATACTTGAATGGGGGGGGGGGAAGTGGGGGAGGGGCCATAACTAAAAGGAAATTACAAAAGCAAAAAATTTCATAGGCAAAGCAAACATATACCAAAGATAATAGATTCATTTATTACAAAGATACAATCAAGGTTAAAACACAAAAGGAGTAAAATCAATTATATGTACAAAAATTAGTTGACAGATACACAAAATTAAAAGATGTAAAATATGAGAGAGGAGCAAGATGGAGGATGAGTAGGAGAACTAAATTTTGTTTGGTCCCAGGAATTCAGCTACATAGGTATCAAACCATTCTGAACAACTACAAACTCAACAGGAGCTTGAACAAAAGAATAGCAGCAACTCTCTGAACAGAAAAGCAACCACTTTCTGGAAGGTAAGACGTGTGGAGAAGTGAATCCGCAACGATATTTGGGAAGA